AGGCATGTTAGTAAGCTGGCCCAGGAGCTGGTCTCCATCCCCTCTGGCAAAGCCGGCTCCACTTCTCCAGTGTGGAAAAAACAGCTGAAGGGTGGGTGCAATTATCATCCTCACTTTAGATTTTAGGACTAAGAAGTTAAATAATTTATCCAAGGTCACACAGGTAGCAAACGACCAAGACAGGATAGGATTCAAATCCTATCAGCTCTCTCCCTGGTACATTTCAGTTCAGAACAAGCTAGAGTCTTAGGGGCAGCCCCAAAGGATACGGAGAATACATAAGAGGTTCAAATGAAAGTGCAAGTTTAAACACAGAACTGGGTGAATGCTTAGCCACCTTAGAAAACACACAGGAGAAGTATGCTTTGCACCAGGTGACCCACTCTACCACCCATAGCTGATGGGCTCAGAAGGGGCGCCTTGACCAAGGGCAGCTGATCTACAGTGCTACCAGTGAATATGCCATGATTGGAGCAAAATATGACAAATTAGAGTTCTTTTCTTATAAATTTGAGCCTGAAAACATCAAGAGAATGTGTAATTATCTATAGGAGCTTAAGCTAAAGTGTTTTAATACTAAGAAGTTAGGCTAGAGGAGGCATGATTAAGTTCGAAGTTGAGGAAGCAGAAAGTACGAGAAAGGAGAGAAAAGAATGGAGATAGTCGGGTGTCTTGGGAAAGGGAATATAGAGTCTGCAAACATGAGCCAGAGAATTGCACAGGTCAAGTTCAGGCCATTTGTACCCATAAAATGCAGCTGTCTTTTCCGAGATCACCTGAGCAAGTCTTTAATCTATGCAACCACAAGAGCTGGGGGGGAAAAAGAAACAGAGAGGAGATTATTTACCTAGGACAATGGTTCTCAAAGTGTGTTCTAGGAGCCTCTAGGGACCCCAAAGAACTTTTTAGGGTGCTTTTGAGGTCAAATCTATTTTAATAGTAATAAGGGGAAGAAAAATAACAAGAAAATTACTTTTCCTTTTCTCAATCTCTCACTTTTGTGCAGAGTATAAAAAGTTCATTGACAGAATTTTAAATTCCACATTGCAACTAATCTTTAAGAATCAAACACCTGTCGAATTTTGGCATATTACTAATGAAGAATATCCATAATATCCTAAAAGCTATTAAATTACTTCTCTCTTTTCCAACTAAATACATCCGTGACAAGCTAGACGTTCAACCAAAAGGCTGCGTTGCAACCGACTGAATGGTGACGCAGATAGAAGAATGCAGCTATTTACTAAAAAGCCAAACATTAAAGGGGCATGTAAGAATGTAAAACAATAAAATTCTTCTCACAAAGTTTTTTGTTTTGGAAAATATAGCTATTTCCATTTTATGAATGATGTTATTTATGCTATTAAGAAATAGGCTTTGCCCTAGCGGGTTTGGCTCAGTGGTTAGAGCTTTGGCCTGCAGACTGAAGGGTCCCGGGTTCCATTCCGGCAAACGGCACGCACCTCGGTTGCAGGCTTGCTCCCCAGCCCTGGTTGGTGCTCATGCAGGAGGCAACCAGTCCATGTGTCTCTCTCACATCAATACTTCTCTCTCTCTCCCTTCCACTCTCTCTGAAAAGCAATAGAAAAAATATCCTTGGGTGAGCATTAAAAAAAAAAGAAATAGGTTTTTATTTTTTTGAAGTGAAATAATAAATATTTTTAAATGTTCTCAGCCTTACTATTCAATAAGGTAAATATGATAGAAACAGCCCACTCTTTGAGGTCCTCAATAAATTTTTAAGGGTGTAGAGAGGTCCTGAAATTTAGAAGCTTGAAAGTCACTGCTCTAGTGTTTTTTTAATATATATTTTTTCCATTGCTTTTTCAGAGTGGAGGGAAGGAGGGGAGAGCGAGAGAGAGACATCGATGTGAGAGAGACACTTCGATGGGCTGCTTCTCGCACACGCCTGACTGGGGGTGGGGAACAAAATGCAACCCAGGTATGTGCCCTTGACCAGGAATCAAACCCGTGACCCTTCGGTGCACAGGCCGAAGCTCTAACCACAGAGCCCCACCAGCCAGGGCTCTAGTGCTTTTAATGCCCCTTCAGCATTTTGCTTTTTATCCAACCTGTGCTTTATACTGGCCACAACCCCTGAGTCACTGCTTTTCCAGCATTTAACCCACTGTCCTCTCAGGTCACACTTAGGAGAATGGGGAGCAAAAGCCAGCGTGCACACCTTTTGCCAGGCCTCTCTGTGCCACCTACCCTGCTGGCACTGTTTTTAATTTCCCCTTTAATTATGGCCTTCAATTTAAACTCTCCAGCTGATCTCGTTTAGCAGGAGCTAGTTGACAAATTCAAATGAACCCACTTCATAATTAAGATTCACAGAGACTGCCTCATATTGAGATACCCTGCCTCCTGTTGAATTATTTATTTTGCTCCAAAGGCATGCTGATTTCACTTTGCACCCTCTTTGGGGACACAAAATTACTATGTGGCCTTGATTGAGTCTTAGTTTGGCCAGGCACAGTCATAAGGGCTTTATGTGCGTGGCTCAATTTACTTATACGGACAACCTTCTTTGGGGTGTTGTGGAAATGCAGCTCTTAGAAACAGAAAGTGTTCACTAGGCAGGACATGCTCAAGAAACCATGGTTGTTATGAAATCCTCTCAACTGCCTTGTGACTTACTTATTGCTCTCATACCCATTCTACAGACAGGAAAATAGACATTAAGCAACTCGTCCAATGTCACCCAAGCAGCATAGCCAGGCTTGGAGCCCAGACACTGTGATTTGAGAGCCCATGCTCTTAACCACTATACTTGGGGATTTTATTTGCTAGGAACTTATGAAAGTTTAAGGTAAGTGATTTTTTTTAAATTTTATTTTAGACTCCAAGTAGTCTCTAAAATGAGAGAAATAATCTTCCATTTAAATTCCTTTGTATGGTTCTTCAGAAACAATAATAAATAAATTTACGGTTACTTAATGCTGTCCTTATCAATATTTACAAAAAAAAAAAGGAATGAGTTGACAATTACCTAACATTATGGAAGCTATATGGGTATTAGCCCCCAAATCTCTTCTCTCAAAAGGTGAAAATTTTCTATAGGTGGAAGTCTCTGCCTTTCTCTTTCTTTTTAAATTTTTCTTTTTTACCCTGGTTCCAGATCACTAATGACATCCTTATTTTGAGTTCTGAATTGTGAATCCTACATCTTGCAAAATAAGAGCAATTAATCTAGCTGACTTCACACATTAACTGCAAGGCCAGGACTCAAGTTAGATCTTACGGGGCTCTTTCCACCTGAGAGTGAATTTAGTTGATGCTCAGAAAAACTGTGCAACCAAATGTTACAAGAAAATGTTAAAAGACTGGGGAGGGAGAGCTTTGCATATTCATGTTGGTGATATAAACTTCTGTTATTATTAATTATAATAACCATAATGATAATGTTACTTTACCAGGCCCTTTGTTCTGAGGAGCATAACATTTGTCACAATTCACATCTACCTTCTACATGCCCACAGAGTAAAGGACAATTCTCATTTTACTAACTGGGGTACTAAAAGGATTAACTGTAGAGTTAAGGTCAAAGCCAGTAAGTTGAGGGAACCAGAGGGATGTGTGGTAGAAGAGCTGGATCAATACTAAAGACTGTTTAATGAGTAAACAGTGGAGTCAAAATCAGTTGTGCCCCAGGGCACAGTTCGCAGTTTATCAGTGGATAAACCAAGGCTGTGTGGGAGGGAACCTGAGTTCTTAAGCTCAAAACTCCACTCAACTCATTAGGAACAGAGCTTAGTTTTATTTTACTACAGGGGAAGTATGCCCTCAGGATGGATGGGAGAAGAAACGCGCCCTTTGGTTTCTCTTAATGTTTATAATTAGCAAGAAAAAATAAATAAAAACAGAAGTAACATCAAAAGAGAGCTGAGGGAAGAAATTAGGAGTCTCGTCACACATCAGAGAAGTTGGGGAAACATGGCTGTTAGGGATTTGGCAACATGTCCATGTTGGGGAGGGGACAGAAAAGGAAAACTGGCACATTGCTATAGGTTTCATAGACCATTCAGGGTGAGAAAAGCCAGCGTGCTCTGTCAACTCAAGTCTCAAGATACACTGCTCTGAGGACTTCCAAATGCTGCCTCAGAGCCAGTAACTGGAAGGTCTTTTTTTTTTGAGAGAGAGAGAGGAAGGGAAGGAGGCGGAGAGAGAGAGAAACAATGATGTGAGAGAGACACATAGATTGGTTGCCTCCCTCTCACAAGTGCCCCGGGGGGCCCAGATCGAACCCAAAACCCTTCAGTGCTCAGGCCTACACTCCAACCACTGAGCCACACCAGCCAGGCCCAGAACGTCGAAAAGGCACACAAATATAAATAGAAGTCATTTACAATCATGGAAAGAAATGTTTTTACTGCTAGAGAAAAGAATCATGTCATTGGGATCTCCGTGGGGAATGCTCAGCCCAGAGACTGCACAAGTGACATTGACAGAGTGGCACCTGGGAGAGTGTAGCTGGTTTGATGAGGGCAATACCTGACAATGGCGGTCGGAACTGTCCCGGGGTACGATGTGCCCCCAGACCCAGAAGAATCTTGGGATCGCGGGGAAGTGATGCCGAGTGCTTCCCTTGGGTTTGCACTTGGTGGAAGAAGCAGAACACAGAGGAAAATCTGTTGCAAAAATGCAGACAGTCAAGACCTTGGCCTAGAAGGCAAGGACCTGCCTTCCCTCGAATGGCTGTTGGGACAGGCAGGTGAGAGCAAGCCCTTCTTAGCAGTCATTCCTGCGTTCGCCTTTCCAAGGCTCCGAGGTGAGGGTGTGCGGCTTTCTCTTTGGGGGTGGCAGATCTTTTGAAGCACATTGGAGATATGTTTATGCAGAATGAAGATAGCATTCTGCCTCTCCCTGACCCTCCACCCCTGCCGCCATGGAGTAGGATTAGCAAAGGCCACAGAACTCCTTGCACCCTAGAAAGCATGCCTTCCTTTCACCATGATGATAATTCTGTGAGCCGGACAGGAATGTCTGTGAATGGCAGTCACAGGCCAGAGCCTCAGCTATCTCCTGTGATTGTCATCTCTGCTTCATCAGACCCGCAATAGCTAAAAAGAAAGAGAGAGAATAAAAAAGGTAAGAACCTGCCCCTCTCCCCATCTCTTGGCTTAGAGGCTGGGGTGCATCATGCTTCATTCTTTTTTCTGTGTTAATAACACCAGATATTAAGAAGCAACTGTGTAGCCATTGGCATAAAACCACCCAAACTGCCTGAGGTAGTCTCCTATAGGCCCTGGTGCCATCAGAGAGAGCGAAAGTGTTAAGGGATGACATTTTCTTCCTTTTATTTGTATTTGATGTATGTGGGGCCAAAGGGTACACACTACTGTAGTGCAAAGCACTTGGCAGATGGTGAAACAAATCAGCACGGACAACCAAAGCTGTGCTTGGGTGCTGGGGAAAGGGGCCAGGGACAAGTCACTCAGTGACACCTCCCCCCCGCCCCCCCCCAGTATTTAAACACAGATGAGGGCAAGTCAAAGGAGCATCTGGGATCATCTTTGTATGAATAAGTTACTGATGTTTTTTTCAAACCACAAAAAGCAGCAGTGTGATTTGCAACAGGCCAAACAGCATTGAAATGTACACCTATAAAGCCAAAACTAGCCTCCTCCCCTCCTTCCCTGCCTCCAGGTAACTATTGTGAACAGTTTGGGGAGTGCTCATTCTCCCATGCTTCAGTACAAACTAGCAAGCATGCATGTGTGTATCCTATTGAGGCTTCTTAAAATTTGGCTCCATATCCAACACATCAGGAAATCCTATTAGCGGTGCTTTCATAATCCAGCCAGCATCTGACGCTAACCCCCTGCACAGTCACCACCCCGGCCTGGGCTGCAGCATCTCTGACCTGGAATACTGGAGTTCCTTCCGAAGTGGCCTTCTGTGCCCTTTAGGATTTTTTTATAACAAAAAAATGCACATCCCTTTCCTCTAAATATTCCCTAGATCCTCTAAATATTCCTCTTGGCCTCAAAGTCACCCTTACTCCACAAGCCCTGCCCCATGCCTCACCCGAGCCCCCTTCTCCCACTCCTTTTCCAGCCCCAGCAGCCTGCTCAAGCTCCTCAAGTGCACCAAGGGTCCTCAGCCAAGGGCCTCTGCTGGAGCNCAGCCTGCTCAAGCTCCTCAAGTGCACCAAGGGTCCTCAGCCAAGGGCCTGCTGGAGCCCCTCCTCTGCCCAGAAGGCCCTTGCACAGATCTCACAATGACTCCGTCCCTCACTTCCTTCAACCCTTTGGCCAAATGTCACTTTCTCAGCGAGGCCCATCCTGCAAACCCTACTTTAAAATTAAAACGCTGCACTCCCCTCTGTCTTCCCCTCACCTCCACTTTATTCTGTTCACAGTAGTTGTCACCTTCTGACATAGTATGTAATTTTCTTAATTTATAGTTTCTCCCCCAACTAGAATATATGCAGAGGTTTTCATCTATTCAGTATTCCAAATGCCCAGGTCAGTGCCTGGAACATAGTCCATGCACCATAAATGTTGAATGATTAAAAGAAATTGTTTTTGCTTAATTGTTGAAAATTATTGCATGACACTCCATAGGTGTGTGTTCTATAATTTATTCACTCTTGATGGGGAACTAAGGAACAACAACAAAAAAGGATCCTGACAAAGAAACGAAGTCTGACAAGTGGAGAGGAATGAGGAAATTGTGGAACACCACACAGATGCCTCAACTGTATGATACATTAAGACCCGACCTTTTAAAACAGGACAGCATGTTCTCTCAGTGTCGCCTGGTACCAGCGGTCTTACTCTGGAAACAAATAATAATAACAGAGTAAAAATATAAAGTATCTAAAAATAATTTTGATCAAACCTCATGATTTAGGAAAAGTCACTCTTCACGCTTTGCTCTTCTTCGAGCTATTTTTCTAAAAATTGGAAGTTATCAATTCCAGCTCTGTGTGCCTGGTGCAGATGTGAGAACTAGGGTCTTAGGAGAGAGGAACATGAGAAATACAAAAAAGTCCATGTAAAATCAAACCCCTCTACCCTCTGCTGTGCCAGTTGCCAACCATACACCTTTGCTGTAATTCATTTTGTTTACTGTTGCTCTTTTTATAGGCTCCCACCCCCATGCCCACGCTCTCAAGTTGCTGGGGAAATAATAAAGAGCGGATATGGCCGGAGAGAGGAAGGGATTAGAATACCCCACGCTGCTGGGTGAAGTTTATTTAGGGATTGGGGTGGGGGAGGGATATACGCTCCAGGAATTATTGTGATTGCTTTCATGTCTCTAATGGCCTATAAATATTCAAGCCTCTGGACTTACTGAAGTTCAAGATCCTTAAAAGACAATTGAGTCTGGCTGGGGGACACACTCCTCCAAGCCTTCAACTGAAATGTATGTAATTCAACTCTGTTGTTAAATACCTAGCTAGTATTTGAAATTTTTGCCATCCAAGCATATTTCTCTTTCTCCTGGCTCTCCCCTCAGAAAAATCAAAGATTCTGTAGATCTATGTGAGTATCCCAGGATTACCACAGTATTGGCTCCACCCACTCAGTTTGATTGGCAGTGAGATTCTTTCACCTTCTGGTTAAACACCAGGCCCCTGGCTCCAATAGTTCAGCTCCAGGCTCCGCCTCTTTCCAAGGGCTGTGGCCCAGAGGTGAGGGTGTGAATGGAGAGCAAGGATGGCAGGGGATCCCATCTGGCCATTGCCATGGCAATTTGCTGTTGAGTAAAATCCCAGTGTGGATGTCTGGGTGGCAAATTTTACATGTGTAGCAAATTTTACATTCGCATGTTCATCCATTCGATTTATCCAATAAATACTTATCAAGTCTTAGGGCATAAGTAAGGTTTAAACTGCACTTAAAGAAATGAATCACTTCTGAACAATAGAAGGGGAAGCATTGGGAGAGGGAAGGAGAAGGGAAGGTGACATTTGTTTTCAGATCTCTGGGAAAACTACTAGAATCAAGATCAGTTCATGGAAACTTTAAAAAGTCCACAAAGTTTGATCCCACTCTTGGACCCATTGTCCACTTTAGTGTCAAAGGCACACCAGGTCCCACCCCGGCCCCCCAGCTTCCTGTCCTCTACTTTTCTGAAGGTGGCAAGGCTGTGAAATCAGGTTCCTTCACCCCATCTCCTCTCAGTGTGCTTTCACTCCCTCCCACTCCCCTCCAGGTCAGATAATCTGCTCTCGGAAAATGACTCACGCTAAGGTAGAAGTTACCATTATTGACTTTAACAAGAGATAAGCTGGCTGTAGCCAAACAAATGACGCTGGACCTCAGACCGCAGGGTGCTCGGATACCGACGTCATCTGGATGTGGGGCCTACACCCCTTCCTTATACATTTATTTTCAGTTTTCCTCTAAAATGCCAGCTCTTTGAGGACAGCTTTGTCCATCTCGTTTACCTCTGCATCCGATGCCTAGACCAGTGCCTCGTCTAGAGTGGAAATTAAAAAATGACTTCTTAACTGAGGGTTTGGTCAATGTTGTCTGTTTCTAGAGCCCTCAGCACAGAGCTGAAAACTTGAGGAAGAGAAGAGGTGGCAAGAAAGTCTGGAATTTTAAAAATAGCTCGTTGTTGGAAAAACATTTAAAACAGGTAAGCAAAAATAAGAGAACTGAAAGCATTCATAATTCTCTCCCCAGTCAATTGTTGTTAACATGGTGAAGTGAACCCATTCAGATTTTTAGCTATGTCTATATCTCTCTTTTTATGTATAAATACATATATACAGGGTGTCCTCCAAAAATGTTTGCACATTTTGTCTGTAGATTCTATTACATTTTGAGAATGAAGTGCATTTTAATAAGCACTGCCTTTATAATTATTCAAAGTATGTTTACATTTTTGGGGACACCATACATATATGTACTATATATATAAAGTACATATATATAGACCTACTTTAACCAAAACAGTCATACTGTCCTTAATATTTTATAACTTGCTTTTTAAATACATAAATCACAAACATCTTATCATATAATAACATTTTTTAATATCTTTTAAATGAATGTCTAATAGTTTAGCACCTAGATGTACCAACAGGCCTTAGTCTACCGACTATTGCTAGACATTAGGTTGATCCAACTTCTCACTGTTATTTATAAAAACACAGCTAAGAATGTGTTTATCACTAAATCTCTGTGCTTGCTATTTCCTCTTACAAGTGAAAACATTGTCATCATTAAACATTGACAATATTTATTGAGTGTGCTCTCTGTGCCAGGGTACTCACATTACTTTATTTAATCCTGCCCCAAACCCTGTTATTTACCGATGAAGCCCGGAATGACTATTAGTCACGTCTCCGATGTTTTTGATACGTATTGCCACACTGTCTTCTGGAAGACATTCTGGAATGCTTCAGGAATTACCTGGGAACCTGCTGCTTTGGGTAAACCCTCTGTTACAAGGGAGATTACACAGCTTCCTTTAGGGAACTATTCCCATGTTTGATTGACCTGTCGACATTTGTCTCACAAACCTTTGTGAGAGTTTAATCACCGTGTGCTACCTGGCTGCGAGATACCTTCTGATGCAGACTCTGTTCCGTGCAGTCCTGGGCCCACAGCCCTAAAACACATGTTAGAACCCTGATTGCAACTCCTTTCCTGGGCTGCGGTCCTTAGGCACATCAGTCAACTTACCGGAGCCTTGGTTTCCATAGAAGGTGACAAAAATAATACCGCCTGCATCTCCAGGTTTGTGAGGATGGGATGAGACAACGAAATTCAAAGAGCTTTGCGTGCTGGAAAGAACAGTGAGGATGCAGGTGTTGTTATCATCAGCGGCAACATCTCTATCACGACCCTTAAGTCGTGGCTCTTCATTGGGGCTTTTGCTGAATTAAATATCAGTGCTTTTAATAAGTAAAAGCAACCAGAGAGACAGAAAATAAAAGGTTGGGAGAAAAGAAGAAAAGAAGAAAACAAAGGTTAGAAAGGAATGAGCTGTGGTGTTGGGGGACACTGAGGGGACAGCCTGTAAGAAGGAAGACGTAATTGAAATGCAGAACAGGCTGAATGAAACCGGATCATACCTACCGGTGCCTGTATACAGAGGAGGGTGCACTAAAGAAAGTACTCGCAGGGAAATCTAGCCAGACCTGTATAAACCTGCGGGCTTCACCCACAATTAACTTTGCATCTCTTCTTCCTAACCTTTAGCATGAATTCTACAATTATCAGAAGTATCTGTCAGATTCCTTTGTCCCTAGGCCTTTGCAAATTTATTGTCCTCTCTCCAAGGCCCTGGAATTCAAGGACACTGAAATCTCACCCTGCAGGGAAAGAAGACTAGATTTATAGCACCTGGGATCTGTTATTCACTACTGGCCCAAACCACATTTTGTCTTTCTGGCCACCCATTCGTGTTGCCAGCAAGGTCTAGCTAGCGGGCTTGAGAAAATCCACTGTACAGAGAAGTTGAATTTTTAAATTTAATTTCTGCTTGCTAATCAGTCATTCCCAAATGAAAGAAAAAAAAAGATTAATCTAATATAAGCCTTGAAACAAAGCAGAAGATGAAAGTTAGCTTCTCAGTCAGGAAGAATTCTGAGGATGGCACAGAGAGACAGGAAAATGGATAATTGATATTAAGCATGACATGTCAGAAAGAAGCTTGAATGGTTTCTAAATGGAGCTATTCTCTGCCATAATTTCTTAAAGATGCACTTTTCCCCCCTAAGAAGGGATATAAGAAAAATAGCTTTCCTTCCCCACTTATTTAAATAAGAGAGCTGAGTGACATTTTACTGCCAAATTATTCTAACATTATTACTTGGATTTTAAAAGGAAAAAAAAAAAAAAAAAAGATGTTTCTATGAATGGTTTGAGACTAAAAATACAAATGACTGCCTAATTTACATAGCTGTTGGGAGGAAGGGAGGAGCTGATCCCTGAGGTTTGGGCCATAATCTTCAATCACTAATTTTTCTAGAATGCAGAAGCCAGAAAAGCTGTTTGATGTAGGTATCTCAGATTCTTTGCACAGAAAACTGGGGCCTATTGTCTTTAAGTCCATCATGTTAGATTGAAAAGATTTGTCTTAAATCGTTTAGAAATCCAGTTGGGCAATGACTCTTGTGAGGAAATCCAATTCCTGGAACCAAACAGATGAAAAAAAATGTGTTAACTGATAGTCGGCTCCATGTCTTGTAAGTGGTATTTTGGAAAGATATCTATTGGAGATGATGGGAATGTAATTAAAGGTAATGAAGTGGATCATCTTGGTTGCAGAAGCTGACCTGGGTTTTACCGAGTTACCCTGAAGTTTTCTGTTGTGGGAAAATACCCAGGAATTGACTGAGCCAAGCCAGTCATTATTGGAGGCATGTGGAGGAAAAGGAAGATTGGCTGTGAACCTTCTCTTCTGGGAACTCTCTGGGAAAGGGTAGTAAGGGTGCTGGGGTTAGGCCAGTCCTACATGTCCTCACTTTGCAGGGATAGAGAGAAACAAGGCTTGTAGGTAGGAAGAGCAGAATGGTACTGAGAAAGCAAGAGTAAGAGAGTGAAGGGAAGCCTTGCGGTCAGTGTGGTGGCATCTATTGTGACAGTCCTGCTCTGTGAACGATCGAGCACTGTGGTCAGTGTCAGCCTTCCCCACAAGGAGAGTGGGCACATCTCTGGGTAAAATAGTTTCCCCTTCAGTCTGCTCTGAAATCCCCACATATCTCAGTAACAGTGAAAATGCAGACTCTTGTGGAAAGCAAATGAGCTGTTTTAGAAAATGTTGGAATAAATTAAACCTTGATTACTCATTCATATCTTGGAAATTTTTTACTTACCAGAAGTTACCCCTTTGGCAGGAACTCTAATGAAATCTGTACAGTAATTTTTGTATTAACAGTGGAGAGAGGGAGATAGAGGTGTGCAAAGGCTTTCATTCAGGAATGTGTTTAACAAGTGTCTATTGAGCACCTACCAGCTCTGTGCAAAGTCCTATACTTGAAGTAGAGGCTTTCAAAGGGCCTTAAGACAACATCCCTCCCCTCAGGGGCTTTACAGTGTGATTCAGGACCTAAGACCTGAACTGCAGGGAAGGTAACACTTAACAGAGGGCAGGACACAAATGCCAAGTGAAAAGTAGAATTCTAAGTGCCACAAGAAGGCAGAGGAGAGAGAAGACCTCCGAGGAGGTTCAAAGCTACCCTAAGAGGGGCCTGAGTAGAATACTGCAGGTGGTACGGAGAGTGCAAAAGGGGAAGGTGGGGAGGGGCAAGGGAGGGCTCAGAAGGTGACTAGCTACAGGATGCAGGCACACAACACAGGAAAATAAAACTTGAAAAGAGGATTCACAACTGGGAACCGGACTTGCACAAGGCTTGCAAGGCAGACTGATAGAGCAGAAATAGCTCTCCAAAAGAGTTATAAAACCCCTCTACTTCCCTGTGGTCATCTCCCTTAGAAAATTTACCAGTTCATTTTTTTTTTCCTAATGAAATTTCACCTGGGAGATCCTTCCCCCTCTTCCACTGAGAATTATTGGCTCCACTGTAGGCCTGGGACTTTCCCTTCCATCTCTACATTCCTGGTTCCCTGTTTTCCTCTTTCTTTGTTTAACCCCTTGTTTTTGAGATGCACGTCCTAACGGTATCATTTGAGAAATAGTTTGTAAGGAATAAATTTTTTGAGACATTGCCAGTCTTTAAATATATCCTTAGTCTACTCTCACCTTTGTTTTGTTAGTTTGGTTGGGTATAGAATTCAGCTCCCCTTCCACAAAAATAATAATAATAATACTTTTCTTAGAATTATGAATATGTTTCTTCATTGTCTTTTTTGCTTCCCATTTTCATATTGACAAGACAAATGCCATTCTTTTCTTGTTATTCTGGGAATGATCTATTTTACCTCCTGGAAACTTTTAGGATTTTTCTTTTCATTCCTGGTTTATGAAGATTTCATGATAAAGCACATTGGTAGGAGTCTTTTTTTTTCTTTCATTTTACTGGATCCTTGGTGGGTTCTTTCTATCAGAAAACTCAAATTCTTCTGTTCTGAGATGTTTACTTGTATTATTTCAGTGTTTTTTCCCTTCTCAGGGTTTTTTGTTTTTGGTTTGGTTTGGTTTGGTTTTTTTGTTTGTTTGTTTCTATTTCTGGAATCCTTATTATCTACTAGATTGATCTTCCAAGTGTTCCATTTTTTCCTCTCTACTTTTCAAGTTATTTTTCGGTATTTTTAGTCTTTTTGTTTTATAGCCAAAAAGATTTTCTCAGCTTTATCTTTCTTCTCTCATATTTCAGACTTCAAGAATTCTTTGACTGCTTTTTTCACTAGTATGCTGGTCTTATCCTATGGATGCAGTACTTCTCTTGATTCTTTAAATATTTTAATAATAGAATTTTAAAGTTTTCTCCTATTCCCTGAATTATTTCTCTTTCCAAAAACAACTTCCTCAACTCAGGTAGTCAGCTGAGCTCTATCCAGTTTTCCTCCCCTCCATCACAGCCTGGAAAGTTTCTCAAAGCAGTAAGCTTGAGCAATCGTAGGACTCGTAACATTTGTTTTCTGTCTCTCAGAAATCACTGTCCTTCATTGCCAGATGTCCATTGTTTCAAAAATTGTTGTTTCAGATATTTCATCAGGTTTTGGTTGTTTCGGTTAGGAAAATAAATTCAGTCCCTCTTATTCCCTTTTAGGAAGAAACAAGGTGTATGTGTGTGTGTGTGTGTGTGTGTGTGTGTGTGTGTCCTTACTAGTTTTGTAAAAGCAGGTACATTCTTGAGATCTCGAATTATTTTAATAGTTTTAAAATTTTTACTTTCTTAGTTTTCCTGATATAATATTTATATCTCTTTTTCATAGTTTTATCTAACTGTAATAGACAGTGCATATCAAACAAGGTCTCAAAATAGTGCTGAGAGTGGCACTATTAAAGTTTCTAGTGTTTTCTCCCTAAGCCTAATGCTGACAGGGTTAAAAATATCTACTTTTTTGTTGTTTGGTGAAGAAAATATCCATCTATTATAGTTTTTCTATGTATTTGTGTCTTTGCCTGTGTTTTTAAATCAGAACTAAATTTTGAGCTTCATTAAATGTCTTTTGGCCATTTATTGAGATGAACTTTTTTTTTTTATATCAGTATATAGTGCATTATCACAATATATGTCAAGTACTGAGCTATCTTTTGTTTTTAAAAATGAACTCACCTGCTGTATGTTAATGTTCTGTTGAATTATGTACTTTTAATATTTAATTTAGGATTCATCATCCCTAGTCTTAGGTGAGATTGGATGATAGGGTTTGCTTTTTTCCAGTTGTTATTCTTGTAGAATTAGAGTTTTGGTACAATGTTACTTTGGCTTTCTAAAAATAATTTGAAAGCTTTGTATATTTCTCAATGTTCTGGAACAGTTTAAATGCACTGGAATTATGTGTTACTTAAAGATATGAAGCAATCTAGGCCTGCTTCATATTTTTAAGTAACACATAAAGCAGGTGTAGGAGTCAGGGAGGTGGGTGGATAGATCTTTAATCAGTGTTTCAATTTTTTGTGTGGTGGATGTTCTGTTCCGTGTCTTTAAATCTTCTGAGGTTAATTTGGTTACTTAGTAAATTATCCTCTCATCTAAGTCTCCAAGTGCATTTGCATATTGTCTTGCAAAGTGCTGTTTAATAATGCTTTAAATATTTTCAGAATGTGTGCCTATTCCTAACTTCTCCTTTATAATTATGTAAATAGTGATGTTTTTTTCCCTCTGTCTTCTCGATGAAGCTGGATAGGGGTTAGTTCGTGGTTAAGATATAATGGGCTCTTGCCCAGCCGGGCGTGGCTCAGGGGTTGAGCGTCGACCTAGGATCCAGGCAGCCGATCAATGACTCTCTCATCATTGATGTTTCTCTCTCTCTCCCTCTCCTTTCCTCTCTCTGAAATCAATAAAGATATATTTAAAAAAAAACAAAAAGATGTAATGGGTTCCGAGGTAAAAATGC